AACTTTCACTTCTTCATCACCTTATGCGAGCCAGGGTGAATGAAACTATTATTAAAGAATTTCTGATTACCTCTAAATCTATTTATGACAAAAATGAAATTCATGTAGTATCTTTAAAGAAAGGTAACTCATTGTTGAGCACACTTAATTTCGAATTAAAGTGTGCCACAACTCACCGGAAAAAGACGGCTTGTTAGCTTTAAGGTGGTTATAGTAATGTCCATCATTGGACTAAAGAAAACTTAGCATACTGCCACGGAGACAACATCAACTGGAATGCTCCAGTAAGGCCAATCGACAGTTGGCCATGAGGCATCTGCCGTCGCCTTATAACAAGATCAACCTTCGAATCTCTTCCCCATACTCTTTCACTGAAAATGGATGTAAGCCTAACAAAGTTATAGATATGATAGGGTTGAGGAAGCTAAACTAAGTAGACTGCAAACTGAGCACAAGAGAGGGAAGCTATTAAGTGTACGCATGGCGAAATAACCATTTTTAATCATACATTTCAAACTTTTATTTGATATTTGATAAGAATTTTAGTCAATTTAGGTTGCTTAACCTGGCTCCTCCAAGATTTAAAATCATTTAGAATGGACTGAGTATTCACGCCTATTCAGAGCCTTATGTTTATCTCCAACGCGATCTGAAATAGGGTAATTTACCAAGTGACAAAGCATTGTCATTCCTTTTTATCGTAATAAGTCTGTTTTGGGACTATCGTTATTCTTAGAATAAGAAATCAGTCAACCAAGTTCGCGTTTGCGTTTTTCTAAAACGCTGACTAAGCATCAATATTCCAGTGAAGTTCACTTAGTCTTGTATTCGAAGATATGAGGACCAGGATGGTCGCACTTTCCTTTCGATTGATAGAAGTTGGTTGACCTCATTTTCTCAATATGGTCTTGTTGTCAGGGCGACTTAATTGAGTGCACTTTATCCGAAGCCCTCTGCCATAGTAGTTATCATAGCTCCCAACACCAGATCGTGGACTTGGTGCATGCTCGGACGGAGACACATGGAGGATGCCGGCGAAATGTCCAAAAATATACTAAGTCCACGGTCTGATGCTGGGACTTATGTTAACTACTATGGCAGAGAACTTCGGACAAGGTGCGTTCAATTAAGTCCCCCTGACAACAAGACCAAGTTGCGAAAACGAGGTCAACCCACTTCCCATGGTCTTGTCTCCCAAAAAACTATATCATCTAAGCTGGGTTGGGGTTTCGATCTTGCCTGAGTCTCCTTAGCACCTCCAACGGGATTCGATACCGGATTTTGAGTGTCGTGGCGATGTTACCAATTAACTACATAACCACATGTACCAATGCGTCACAGAGTTAGTTTGATACTCAATTATAGACCAAGCCTAGCCCAAGTAGCAATTATAATGGGATTGTTAATGAGAAAAGTGTAATGACATCGTGGGGCTTATTTATCTCTTGCATTAACTTAATTTTTGTGTTGACACTCTGTCACAACCACGGGTGCCAGGTTATAAGAGAGCGGATCCGACTTTCGAAGCACATCAATTTTCTCCAAAATGGCATTTAAATAGTGGAATTGTTGTTAATACGGCAAGCCATAGTTGTTAATACAGGCCTATAGAGGCCTTTTACTCATTTCATAGTAACAAAGCCAATTATTAGTCCTATAAGATCCAGAAATTAGGGACGAATATTAGGGAAAAAGTGAACATATTAAATTTATGTCAAGAAGAGTACAGCACAGTTGTACATCCATGTAAATCAGATACTTTAACTTCGTGTGTAGCATTTGGGCTAGTTATAGTTCAGATCGTAACCTTCAGTGTAAGTCAAAAAACCTTGCAAGAGCTTAATCTCCTTAGGTCACTTAAGGTAGTTTAAGGATTGATCCTTGAGCTTTTCCTACAATGAGATTAGTAGGTTTTACAATGCGATTGACCTTAAGTTATAGATATGAAGAGTAACTGAGTTTTGATGAATCTCCTGAGATAACAATGTTGAGAGACTTTAATTTCGTATGAAAGTGTATGAAGAAGAGATTCGAATGTCAATCTCACCAGAAGAGGACGGCTGATTCGCGTTGTACTGCTGCCTTTTGGCTTTAATGCGACGTTCCGGTTGACGCAGTCCACGAGACATCCTCTCTCGTTTCGGGTGAAAAAGGACTGAGAACTTTAATACGAAACGCAAGTCTCCACAACAAACTTTAATTTAGCCTTGCATTCCTAACTGCTATCCCATACAGGGTAGAATGCAGTCTCTACCTCGTCTAGGCTTAATCGCCCCTCCTAACAGGATACGATACTGAGTCGGGTGTACCGGGGTGAGGTTACCACTCCACTACACCGCATGGCAATGTGCAGAACATTCAAGGGAAGTCGGACCTCACAAAACCGCATTTATAGTGGGATCGCCAATTCAGCAACCATTTTTATGTCATTATAATAGACGACGTTACTTATTCTTGATATAAGTAGCTTTCTAATCTATCTGTTATTCTTGAGTAGAGCTGATTGGCATCGTTGATTCTACTAATTTCAATGTGGGAAAACTCAAATACCAATTCTCAAATAAGCTTAAGTAACCTATAGTGACTAAACACTTACTCTAGGGTTATTGATAGTCTCAAAAAATACTTATGCCAAAAGCAACCTTAAATCCGGTGCGGCAGCTTCGGATGATTGAAATATCCACAAAAAATTAATTTAACTTATAATCACGATTAAAACAATTTCTTGTAATAACCTCGGTAGATACTGGAGCATAATCTATATATATATATTAGTTTATAGGGAAAATTTTTAGTCGTTTTTATCTACCTGGGAGTTAGGTAGAATGCTTACTTCTGAACCTCTAAAATGTGGTTCTAGACCTTGTTGGGGTTGTTTCCTACAGTAAATCTGACTAGGATTCATAATTTCATTGAATTTGAGTTTCGTTTTAAATTCGTTTTGAGATTACCAATGGATTCACTCTATTTCGCTAAGGTTAAAAAAACTGGTTGTTGAATTTCCCTTGAATTTCATATAACCTTGCTTTCCAAAAAGTATTATTATTCAGGGTAACCTACAGTTTTGACCTCTCCTAGGTCTTATCAACACCTTATGATAAAGAAAGGCTATGTGAAATTCCATAGAAATATAAGGTCTACTCATATTATTGTGGGAAAAAATTCAACTACCACTCACTTTATCACTTTAAATGAAATGGGATGAATACATCGTTTAGTTCGATGATGAAGCAAAGCCCAGGTCGAGAAGCTTTCTAGCTGGGACCATAAAATCTTTTGGAGAGGCAAAGCTAAGTAAAATTCAATAGTATCGTAAGGGATACTCATTTAAATGTAGGAAAATATAACTATCTATGATTAAATTTACTCGAATGACTTAGAGTGGTTCAATTTTTTATTTAAAGTATCCCTGATGTTCTCAAAAATTCTTCCCGCGAAGTGCCTGATAATTGAGTTCCCCGTAACTCAATGTATGAATGACCTCAACAGGCCATTTACTTTCATTTATTTTTGCTCCCCAAAGACAGGAAAACATTTCAACTTCGTCGGGACTATTTGCAACATGTTCTAGCTTAATGGCAGCCATAAGCCCGACTTCCACACTTTAGTCATTCTGTAAATAGGAAGAAGTAAGTTTTACCTGTCATAGATTTTACATATGTTCTGTGACCGGGGCTATGTGGTCATTTGACTACATATTGCCGTTTGACACGTATAACTCAGTCGAAAATGCAGTTTAGGTTGCTGAAGTAACCGATTCGGAGTCAAAATTACAGTTCCATTTCGGCCAAGAAGCCTCTCCAGAGACCCTTTTAATGCACCTAACTGGCATCGTCAAGCTTTCTTCTTTAACTACGGGAAACTTACAGTCATTTATTCCTTATTTTTTGTCAGATTGGAGAAAAGCCTGGTATCGAAGTGATTTAAATGAGTATATCTTGTACGGAGAATTCGTTTCTCTCTAGTGCGCAGTCTTTCCATACATCTCGACTTTCAACAAAATAAGATGCAACCCCACTAAGATGAAATCTTTGAAATAGGCCACCAAGTTTCAGTTGCATCCAGGGAACGTCTTGTCAAGATGAACATTCACTAAATCCGACCAAAGAATTTTGGTCACTGAGTGAGTAGGTTTCGAATCCGTCAGTAGATCTTAGACGACCAACGAATCTCTTCTTCATGCACTTTCATACGAAATGAAGGTCCCTCTAACAATAATTTAATAGTCAGATCGCCTATGGCGGTGCAACGACTAAAAGTTCTATATTATCGGTAAAATAAGTATAAAGCCTCGCTATTCCACTGAATTTCGCATATTCTTGTCCTCCAAAAGGCATTTTCGTGCAGACAAGACGGCAGTCTCATCTGCCCACTTAACAGAATGCGAAACTGAATTGTGCACGTCAAGGGTCGACGCATTACCGCTTCGCCACACAGTCGCGAGTATTAGTATGTAACAGCAAAGCTGTAAATTCCAAGTCAAGTCAGATTTCTCGCAAATATTTTTACAAATCTGAAGTGGCGTATATAGGGCGAACTTATATTTGGCCAAATATTCTACGACTACTATTAAGGGAGTGAGTAGGTTTCGAAATCAATAGTGGAACTAGAATAATATCTTAAGCAAATCTGTCTTATGATAGTTACTGTAAGGTCTGATAGTGTATAGATCTTTTCCAAAATAATGATTTCAACTCGGAGTCATATGGCATGGATTTGTACTAGCTTCCAAATATATACACTCTCGCAAGTCTTTGATTCGTCGAGCTGCAATCTTGGTCCAATTGATAAAACGAAGTTATTTTTGTTTTATTCAAACATCAAACTTGAAGGATGAATTTTAAAAACTCTCAGTTGAATAATTTATATTGACCAGAAGTGTCTCGAATTCTCCTGAATTCATTCAATAACATTGCGTCGAATATCTGCAAACTGGCAAACTAACAATCATTAAGGATCATACTGATCTTAAATAAGAACGATCTGTGCAATTAGATTATATGCGTACTTCAAGTAACTCGAATGTTTTACTTTGTAGTTTAATGTCCATTCGCGAAAGCATTGGCTTTTTTGGCCTCAAATCAAACACCCTTCGTTTGCAACCTGTCGACCCGCCTCCTTTCTAATCTGTCTCCACTCCTCTTTCATTTCCGATCAGGAATTCTAAAGGACATATTCGGTGAATACATTTACTGCTATCTGCTCGGTGGGGTCTGCTACTTGTTCTCTTTGATCTCTCTACTTTTCCTTTGCCGATTCCGTCATCAGACAGATACTCCAGACAGTGCCAGTCTTTCGCTTTTAGCCTACAAACATCAAGCCTGTCTTAAGATGCATTGCTCCCAGTGTTTGTGCTGTTGTCATCCGAAGGAAGTTGAAGCCGGTTGGACAAAAAGACTTAGCTCAAATCCCAATGCATGGGAGGGCCAGAATCAGTTGAAAGGTTGGCCTCAGTCCTTTGGGAATCAGCGCTTCTCAACATCTCTAGGCCACCATGAACAAGGGAACAGGTGGTTTACAGAACAGGGTCTGCCTCCAGCTCGAGCAGACTGGACGCGTGGATACGATGGCCCAATGACTGGCTACCCTCGAGTCGACCTCTCCAGACAAATGGGGGACTTCAGAGGACAGTATGAGAAAAGGCCTTATGAACTTGACTTGCATGAGACAATTTATGCCAACTATCTGCGAAATCTAGAACAGATAAGCGAAGATAAGTAAGTCGTATCCCTTGAATCTTATTTTTCGAATTAAGTATTGTTGTCGTGGATGAAGCAAATGTATTTTTGCTATAACAATCGAATACGTTATTTTATTTTTCGCATTTAAGTATTGTTTTAAGGACCAGTAAATCAGTAATATGAGATGTATTCACCCAATTTCGTTTAAGGTGATGAAGGACTGGTAGAAGAAAAATCAAAATATGAGATGTATTCACCCAATTTCGTTTAAGGTGATGAAGGACTGGTAGAAGAAGAATTTTTCCACAAATTATATGAGTTGAGCTGACTTTTCCATTGAATTTCACATAGCCTTGATTTCCCAAAAATTGTTCTCATCCTTCATCTCCTTAACCGAATTCGGGTGAATAAATCTCATATTACTGATTTACTGGTAGTCTCGAAACAATACTTAAATGCGAAATATAAATTAGCAGTTCAATATATAGAATACTATTGGGTGAATATAACTCATATTCCTTAAATCTTAGCCTTAAAAGTTTCTACTGCACAAAAATAATTTTTTTTTATAAATTACCCATCAAATGTCAATAAAAATCAAGGATAAAGATAGTAAACAAGGATATTCCTGGAGCTTATAACTCATTAATTACATACGACGAAAAGTTGGGTTTCGAGGAATCTCTTGTTTCATAATTGTTGAGCTTACTTCCATTTCGAGTGAAAGTGT